TATATATATATATATATACACTGTATCTAATACATCTCTATTGCATCTCCACCACTATATATACATGTGTGTGTATATATATATCCACTGTACACATACCTATGTACATACCATATCTAAGACATCTCTATTACATCTACACCACTATATAAATATGTGTGTGTATATATATATATATATATATATATCCACTGTACATATACCTATATACACAACATATATAAGACATCTCTCTCCCACCCACTGCCATGGAGTTGATTACAATTCAGAGAGTCTGTATAGGATTTTCAAGGGTGTAACCCTTTAGGGTAGCAGAAAGTCCCTCTTTCCCCCCTGGAGCAGCTGATGGATTTGAAATGCATTAGCAGTCCACTGTGTATCTTATACACACCCTATATCCACTCTACTGCATCGAGGGCCCTATATATACACACCGCTCTCCTAGTCTCTAATGCTGCCAGAACAGAAATACCACTAGTGGATGGCTATAACAACCAGAAATGTATGAGCTCACAGTTTAGGAGGTTTGAAATCTAAACTCAGAGGGTTGGCTCTTGGGGAAGTCTTCCTGTGTTGGTTCTGGGGACAGACCCTTGTCTCCTTGTAGCATCTTTAAGCTCAGTATTCTTTGGAAACCTGCATGCATTGTGGCATCAGTATTCCCCTGGCTGTAGAATGTCCACAGCGCAGGGACGTCAGGTTACACCCACTACAGACCCTTCTATATTGGCAGCAGCCAGTCCCTCTTTCTCTGACCTAGTCTTTCTCCTTTTGTTTCTTGTAAGGTAAAAGGTGTTGCATGCCACACCCTTGGGAAGCTCTTGTAAATCAGATCTGGGTGGTGGTAGGACTAAGGGCGCTGTAGCATAAAGGCAGGACCGCAAGGTCGGTTTGAAGCCCGAGGTCAGTGGTTCAAACTCACCAGCCGCTCCTCAGAAACCCTGTACTGTGTCTCTATGAGTCAGAACTGACTCCACGACACATCACAACAACAGGATAAGCACAAGGGAGTGAGTTGGCTCCAGGGGATAAGCCCTGGACTGTGAAAACACCTCCTCCAGCCTCTGTGGGGGCCACTCCCACCACAACTGGAGGCGCCCTGGGTAGAGTCGGAGCAGATGCTCCTCAATGTCTTGTTAGGACAGAGGGGACTAGACATACCTGCAGCAGTCTCTGTACCAAGAAGCCGCAGAACCCGCCAGGTGTGCGCAGCAGCCATCCTTCTATACCCGCTCCATCCCCGTTCCCCCCGCTCAGGCGCGCGCAGACCCAGCGATGCGCACCGGTGGGCCGCTTCCAGTTCCGCTCTCTTACCTCGCAGCTTACCTTGAGCCTCCCTGGGGCAGGACACATAGTGGTGTGTGCCAAGGACCCCACCCCTAACCCGCCCCCCTCACTTGTGTGTTTGAGAGGAGCCCCCTGGAGCTGCTATGGGAGCCAAAGTCTGACCAGTGCCATTCACGTAACCCTTCTGCCCCACAGAGGGTCTTCTTGGCTGAGCTCACTTTGATTGGCCTGATTGCCGCAGTTTCCAGAACTGTTTGCAACCACAGAACGCAGACCCACTGTCGCTGTGTCCCAGGATGCCCTCTGCGTCCAGGGTGCGCGCTTTCCTCCCCAACCTCCCCCAGATCGCCAATCCTCTCCAAAGTCGGTACCCCACAGCCTCCTCTTGCAGAGTTGCTGTGAAACCCCGGGGCATGTTGGTGTCAGAAGCCGCGCTCCTAGCTTGTGGAGCAGTACTCCGGCCCGCCGAGTGAGCGCCCTGAGCTCCGAATGAGGGTGACTGTCTGCCTCCACCCCAGTACCCAGTATCTTCTTAAAACTGTACTCACCTCTGCGTCTCCGAGATCCACTACGGGGCCTTGTCTGCAGTGGCAGGGAGTCCTCTAAGGGTTCAGGCACAGATCTGACTGCTCCCAGCGAAGGTCCTCATCTGTCCCGCGCTCCAGGGCTCCGCGCCACCCTCCCTGCCGCCCTCAGCTTGGGGGTGCGGCTGGCTTCGTGCTCTCACCCGTGGCTCCTCCCGGAGACCACACCCCGGTCTCCGGTGTTTGTGGGGTATCGTTGCCAGGGAAACCAGCCCTCCCGGTGCGGGGAGAAGTGTCACTAGAAAGCATATCGGGGGAAGGGGACTGGGGTTAGAAATAGAGAATGCTCAAATATGGGGTGGGGGGGGGATCCCGAGCTGGGTGGCGGTTGGAGGGGTCTTTGGTCAGACTTAGAAATGCTGCTTCGAATCAAGTTAAACAAGTTTCTGCCTGTACTGA